TCTCTTATATATAGCATTAATAGATATTAATACATATTAACATCTGAAAAACCTCAGGATAGCATCCACCACAACAGACCTTTGTTCCCATGTTTCTGTCTCTCCACAGGTTTGAAAAGAGTTCAGATTACAGAGACGAGCAAACAGGAAGTTTACTCCTATGTCAGTATCTTCACTGAGGTCTTCGAGTCACACTAATGCAAATACTGAAATCTCAGATTTACTAATACTTTGTCATTATTAAAATAACATACTCAAAAGTCTTTGTATCTCACATTTGGCTTACCACAAGAGACACCAAATAGGTGTGTTCTTTGGGTTGCTTCAATGTGTTCTGTCACCAGCTCTGGTTCTTGAAGCTACTGTAACTTTTGCTTACTGACTGAGCACAAGCTTCTGACAACCTGGGTTATGGTCACTACTGTGCTTACTTGAGGTTATTACTCAATTATATTTTCTAATTCTAGGTCATGACTGAAGAAAATTGGTGATTCCCAAATTGCAATGGAACAGAATGAAGGTACTAGTGGTTTTTAAAAAAACAATATGAAGCCTAGCTGGAATGGCTCAGTGGTTGAGCATCGACCTAGGATCCAAGAGATCGAGGTTCAATTCCCAGTCAGGGCACATGCCCGGGTTGTGGGCTCAATCCCCAGTGTGGGGCATGCAAGAGGTAGCCGATCAATGACTCTCTTATCATTGATGTTTCTATCTCTCTCTCCCCCTCTCCCTTCCTCTCTCTGAAATCAATAAAGATATATTTTTTAAAATACATGAAATACATTTGTGAAGTTATATGGAGAAATAGGGTGCAATAATTGTAAATGCAATGAAAACACATGAAACGATTACCTTAAATGTATCAGCTTTCAGAGATACATAATATTCATTCTATGGATATTACATGTCAGTATATGTCAATGGTCTGGATTTTTATTTCATTTTTATTTCAAAAATAAATTTGTAGTGTATAGCAAACATATACACTACATAAACTAATTCTCAATGACTATCTGAAAGAAGCTTTAAACAAAGAGCAGATTCTTAAAAGAATCACAACCTTTACCTCCAACCGCCAAAACAATAAAAAAATGAACCATGCAAGAATAAAAAAAATTGGTAATTTTTATAGAAACCAAACTCAAAATTATTGAAAAAACATGTACTTTCTGTTCTTACACTATATATATATTCTAAGGGAGTATTGTCATTCCACTCAAGAAAGACAAAGAAGAGAAATTTTTGCCAACTCTGACTAAAGACTTTTCCACATTAACAACTCTTGGAATGTAATTTGTCCTAGCCACTTGTAACTGCTGAGGACCTAAAACAGTGAAAACCTATTTTGCCCAAAAGTGACAGACAATGCAACAAATGAGCAATTACTTGAGGAAGGAGAAAAGGAAGGAAAATCCATCATTGGCTGGAATTTCAAGGGAAGCTTCTAGCTCACTACAAGCCATGAAGAAACTATATTTAAAAGTTTTTCATCCTAATATCAGCAATAATTAATTATTATATCTCCTTCAACTAATTTTTATTTACTTCTGAAACTCCTATTATCCATTCCTCTAAGTCTCTTACCTCAGGATCTCTATCTTTTTATGATTTTGCTGTATACTTTGAGGTAATATGCTACTTCCTTTTCTAAGCAACTAACTTAACTTAGTGACTACCCTCTCATATAACGTGCCACACATATTTACAGATATTTACATATAATTCTAATAATTAAACTTCTCCTAGGCTCCATCACATATATTCACAAGAATATATATGCTTGCCTTTCAGCCCAGAGTTTTCTGTCTCTCAAGCTGCTCTCCAACCCAAAGAAGAGAAATCACTGCACCATCTCCATGGCTTAAGGCAGTCTAACAGCTCCATCAGCTGTTTGGTTCAGCTGAGGTTAATGGGTTAGTTTTGGAGTTAGGGACGAAAAGGAAGTATGACAGACACTATGAAGAACCCTGTTGGGGGTCTTACATGTAAACAGCCTCTAGCAGTGAACTGCCTTAGCTGCAGAGAGCTTCACTGCAGGAAGTCACACTCTTTCCCAGGTTGGCCCACATCCAATATCCAATGAATGGAATATAAAGGCCCAGTCATCTTGGCACAAATTGGGATAGCTCTGAAGGGCTATTCTAGCTCCAGAGCTCCCAATGGAGTAGGCCAACACTATCACAGGAGTTATCTCCCTCTGTCCAATCGTGGTTCCATCCCCTACCTTCCACAGGTGTTGATCCTAAAGGCATTCCTTACTAAACATCCTGCCTGCTAAACTCCCTCCAGAGGAATCCAACCTACAGTAGGCCAAGAGCAACGATTCTCTATTTTCCCACAATCCTCTAACCAATTACTATTTTAGAATCAAGTCCTAGAAGCCAAATGACCAAATCAAGTGACAGGAAATTTTTTTAAACTCTTCATACACGAGAAAGGCTTAAAAAATAAATAAAAGTTTTACAAAGCCTTTTTTCCTCCTTCAAATTCATCTGAAATGACAGAAAAAAATATTTTTAATAACTAATCCATAGCAGGAATGATAATCAAAGTATACCATCTGCAGATTAGAAAATTTTTAGGGATTCCTATAAGACAGGGAGCAGATGGGATCAGAATGACAAATAAGAGCAGAAAAAACCACAGTCCAAAATGTATACACAAAAGAGTTTAATTCTACCATTTCCTACTTCAAAAGTAGAATCAGTTTTACACAAGGAACTCCCAAGCTCAGAAAATTTCACACAACAATGATGACTCAGGACAATAATTAAATAACTATCTTTAGAGCAACAAGGCAAGTAAGTCCCCCACATGTATATACGTGAGCAGTTTACTCAATTGTTCACTGCTAGGTTTATGTTTACTTCCCCCAAAGTTATGGTATATAATCTATTCTCTAAAAATATATGTCTATTTGGCTGGGTTGGAGATTCTCACCTTGTACTGGTTCCAAAGAGAGAAAAATGGAGTAGCCTGAAGTAACAAATGTTTCCATCGATTGGTAGTGGTGATGGTGGGATGTGTGGGGGCTACCAGAGACTGACTCTAGTTTTGGACTTACAGGGAAACAGTGAAGAGAATGGATAGAAAGAATTCAATAACTGGTATTAAAAAAGGAATTTTTTAAAAGTAGGAATGCAGTCAATAAAGCTTCAAGGATTTAAAAAAACAAACAAAAATTCACATCTAGGAAATAGAAGCCATCAGCTTGAAATACTTAAAATACATATTATGTATACCTCTGCATCCATCCTCTCATTCCTCCTCTTCCTATTACAAAGAATCAACCTACTGATTACCTATTAATGGCCAGTTCATCTACACAGTGGTAAATGGATCTAATAGCACATCTTTTCAAAGACTTAATTCCTTAGGTTATCTTTCTCTTTTCCCATTTTACTAGATTACTCCCACCAGCTAGTCTGCCAAAACAGTCCAGTTGCCACATGCCCCCTACCTCATCTTCCAAAAAAGAAAAAAAACAAACCTCCAAAAGAAATATCTCTGTATTCTTCATTACCTTCACAGTCAAACATTTTATAAATGGAAAATGTAGCTAAATTCGTAAACTAATAGTTTGCAAAGCCAATGCATATTTTAATGACCAATAAGCAGCAAGGACATAAGCCCCACATGCAAACCTAATTTTCAAGTCTGGGTCTCTACTTATGTGCTCTCAAATTAGTGTGCTGTACAAGAAAAAGGTGCAGCATCAAAAAGTTAGATTGCACAGATTTCTATTGTTTCTTTTGTATAATAGTTTCCTTTAAATAACTTACTAGTTTTAATTAAAATTAAAATACCTAATAGAGTATTAAATAATTATTAATACCTGTTACCCTGAAGCCATCTTGCTAAATACTAACCAGTTTCACATATTAATCCCAAAACCTCTGAGCTATCACCTCCCTCCACCCCTCATTTTACAGATTAGAAGACAGAAGCCCTGAGATGTATATTTAATCTGTATAATGGTAATGCAATTGTATACAATAGAGATGAGCTGTAAAAAAAAACCCAAAAACAAACAACAAAAAACAAACAAAAAAGCCTAACTCCAAAACCCATAGATTACACCTGCTTCAAGCTAAAACTGCATTTTCATTAAGAAAGTGTTCACTTGACTTAACACAAAAGTGGCATAATAAAACATCCACATTAAACACCAACAATCTTTCACTCTAGCCCTGAAATAATCTACCAGTTGTTCTGCCCACTAAACACATATGTGGAAAACAAGCATAATAAATCCATCCACTCCACATTAAGATGTTTACTATGATCAAAAGGTTAAAATGCTCTTGCTTGTAAGGATACAGTTTTTCTTTGCTATGGATTTTGCCTTTGGTATTGAGGAATGTAGTATTTAGGGGTGCTTTTAACTTCCTAAGTGAATAATGATCTGGGTCAGCAATTTGGTACTATAAAAAGGACACATCTTGGGGGACTACCTCCAGCTATTTAACTCACTTAATTCTTATAGGAAAAAAAATTTTCAAATGAATAAAAAATGTTTTGTCCAATGCTGAAGCTCATATCAGAGAGATGTGATCATCTCTCTGTGTTACTTACCTTTACAATGGTAAGTAACATTTTTGACCAAATATTGGCTAGCTAAAATGGAAGTTTTATAGCCAGGAATAAGAACAGAAATGCTGAGTCTGTGTTACTTTTCTCAAGTGTCCACCAATGGCTCACTTTCTATGATACAGCCTTTGAAGGGCAAGGATTTTTCACAAGGCAGAACAAAATGGTAGTGTACATGTAGGTGGTTATCAGTTTAACTGAATGGTCTATTGATGATTCACATAGAGTGACATGAATTCTTCTCATTTCCATCTATCCTGCTTTTTGTTCTCATTGTTTAGGATGTTCATAAGCTCACAATTTCTTAGAAGTAAAACTGTAGTAGCCTTGATAAAGACAGAGTACAAACAATTACAATTATTTTAAACACATATATAAATCAAACAGTAATTAACAAGGGGAAAAATTACCTTTTGGATAATCTTCCAATAAGAGGTTGAAGTGACCTAATTGACAAAAGAAATCAGACTCCACTTTTCCTTCAGCTTTTAAGATTAGAGATTCGTAGCAGCGAACAGCCTGGAAATAAAAAATACAAACATTTAAGAAAAAGATAAAACCCTAAACTGCATTTCCTTCCTGAGATAATGCACATATCTTCCACTCAATTACCCAAGAAATCAATATATTTATTTCACTTCTACATCAGATATAATCAATGCAGCATGTTTGTTTGTTTTTTGAGAGAGAGGAAAGGAGGGAGAAACATCACTATGAGAGAGAGACATCAGTCGGTTGCCTCCCAGGTGCACCCTGACCGGGGATAGAACCCATGACCCTCACGTGCACAGGATGACACTCCAACCGAGGCATACCAGCCAGGGCAAATGTAGCATTCTTTAGAATACCTAAGTATTTATTAAAAGAGCCCCTAGTTATGGCATAAGAGCTTTTCCTATCTATAAAATGGAAATCCTTGCCAAATAATATAATGTAGGAGCACTTTGATAACTTTATTCATAAATTATAAATCTAAATTATTACTGTGGTCCCTGTTGAAATAAACAAATAATATCCATCTTTTGCACAGATGGAAAAAACTTTAATTAAGTTATGTGACAATTCATAGAATCTCCAGAGTATTAATAGCTTCCATTTATACTTAACAGCTACTTTTTACCATAACCTCTACCAGTTTCAAGTACCATAAATTGCGTTTCAACTCTCATGATATACTTCAAACACATCAACTCTAATTCTATTCCCAATCTTTTCCCCCCATTACAATACATGCACATATGCACTCACTCTCACTGTTCCTTCCATGAAGAAAAAAATAATATTTTAAGGTTATCTTTTTTTTTTTAAATCCAGGAGACTGCACGAGAAAATGAATGGTGGAAAGAATAGAATTCTGGAATCTGACTAATTCCGGTTGTCATTAGCTACAAAAGAGCCTGGGGAACTTATCCACTCTCTTTTTTGAGTATTAATAACACTCAAAGGGCTGGCAAAAGGAATAAAATAAGAAAACTTCAGGGGGTTCGAGTAGAGATGGTGGGATAAGTAAATGCAGTACTCGCATCCTCTCACAACCACATAAAAATTACAACTAATCTATAGAACAACCATCATTCAGAACCGCCTGAAATCCAGCCAAATTTAAGTCCTACAACTAAGGATATATAGAAGTCACATCCAGACTGGTAAGAGGGGTGGAGATGTAGAAAGGGCTGGACCCACACCCACATGTGGTAGTTAAAACTTAAGAGGGAGCACAGCCGGGCATGGCTCAGCAGTTGAGCATTGACCTAGGATCCAGAAGATCTCAGTTTGATTCCCAGTCAAGGCATATGCGCGGGTTGTGGACTCGATCTCCAGTCGGGAGCGTGCAGGAGGCAACCGATCAATGACGACTCTCTCATCATTGATGTTTCTATCGCTCTCTCTCCTTCTCCCTCTCCCTTCCCTCTCTCTGAAATCAATCAAGGTGTTTTTTTTTTTAAATCAAGAGGGATATCTCAATGGCAGAGGTGCCCCTGGGGGAGCAAGGGGTCCCAGCCCCACACCAGGCCCCTGAGCCCAGGGTTCCAGTGCCAGGAAGAGAAGTCCCCACAACTTCTGGCTGTAAAAACCAGCAGGGATTGTTGGCTGAGATGAGAAGGAGGGCTGCTGGAGTCCCAGGCAGTTCCTCTTAAAGGGCCCACATGTGGACTTAACTGGGACTCACTCCCTCTAAGCTACATCACTGGGGCAGCAGCTCAAAGGACACCAGAGGCATATGGGAAGAAACTGAATTATCTGACATCAAGGCCAAGTCTGAGGTGGTGGCTGTCTCTCAGACAGAAGTTCTGGCAGAGGCCACTGTTCCTTTTCTGAGCCCTTCTCACACAAAGCCAGCAGGCAGAGGCCATATCTGAGTCTCCATCAACCTGGCTACACTGTTCATCCTGCCCTAGTGATTCCATGAGACTCCACTCCATCCAACTTGCAGGCTCAACCAAGCTGTTTCCAGTGGCTTTTCCATACCAACGGCCTGTCTTGACTCATACTGCAGACTTTCCTAAAATCTCTCAAACAAGTAGCATCTGGCCTTGCCGTGCCCCATATAGCTTGCTAAGTAGCCCCAGGCCTGGAGTGCCCAGCTTGGGTGACTGGGGAGGTTGTGCCACTGGACCCTACAGGAAACCTACTACATTAGGCCACTCTACCAAGACTGAAAGACATAGCAGCTATCTAATACATAGAAACACACACAAGGAGGCTGCCAAAATAAGGAGACAAAAACACATGTCCCAAATGAAAGAACAAAACAAAACTCCCCAAAAAGAACTAAACAAAATGGAAGCAAGCAATCTACTAGATGAAGAATTCAAAACATTGGTTATAAGGATGCATAATGAACTTACTGAGAACTTCAACAGAATAAAAAAGAACATGGAAACCATAAAAAAGAACCAGTCAGAAATGAAGGATACACTAACTGAGATGAAGAATAATTTACAGGGAACCACCAGTAGAGTTGATGAAGCCAAGAATAAAAACAACTATTTGGAAGATAAGGAAGAAAAACACATCAAATCAGAACAGCAAAAAGAAAAAGGAATCCAAAAAATGAGGATAGTGTAAGGAGTCTCTGGGACAACTCTTCAAGCATGCCAACATTTCCATTATGGGGTGCTAGAGGAGAAAAGCAAGGAATTGAAAACCTATTTTAAAAAATAATGACAGAAGACTTCCCTAACCTGGTGAAGGAAACAGACATACAAATCTAGGAAGCACAAAGAGTCCCAAACAAGATGAACCCAAAAAGGCCCACATCAAGACACATCATAACCAAAATGCAAAAGGTTAAAGACAAAGAATCTTAAAAGAAGCAAAAGAAAAGCAGTTAGTTACCTACAACGGAGCTCCTACAAGGCTGTCAGCTGATTTCTCAACAGAAACTTTGCGGGCCACAAGGGATTGGCAAGAAATATTCAAAGTGATAAAAAGCAAAGATCTAAAACCAAGATAACTCTACCCAGCAAAGCTATCATTTACAATACAAGGACATATAAAGAGCTCCCCAGACAAGAAAACATTAAAGGAGTTCATCACCACCAAAGCAGTATTACAAGAAATGTTACAGGGTCTTCTTTAAGAAGAAGAAAAAAAAGATTAAAAATATGAATAAAATGGCAATAAATACATATCTATCAACAATTGAATCTTAAAAACAACATAACGAACCAGAAGAACAGAAACAGACTCATAAATACAGAGAATATTTTGATGGTTGCCAGATTGGGGGGGAGGGGTGAAAAAGGTGAAGAGATTAAGAATTACAAATTGGTAGTTACAGAACATTCATGGGGATGTAAAGTACAGCATAGGGAATATAGTCATTAATATTCTAATAACTATGGTGTCATATGGGTACCAGATCTATCAGGATGATCACTCAGTAAGTTATATAATGTCTAATCATTAGAGTGTACATCTCAAACTAATATAATATTGTATGTTGCCTTTAATTTAAAAATAAAAAATGATTTTTAAAAAAGGAAAACTTCTTTATGGCTTTATCACAGTGCTTAGCACTCCATAGGTACTTAAAAATTGTTTCTTTACAATCTCCTTAGATAAGAAAAAAAGCTCTAGCTCTTTCAAGACTATTTCAAGCTGCAAAATAATTTTGTCAAAATTTCCCTGATAACAATTTACTGTACAATGTTGTTACTGTGCCCTAGAGTCGCTAAAGAAAAAAATGTGCATGATTTCTCAAATCTCTGGGTATACATCCAGGTTTAGTGTCCACAAAGAAAGGAACTAGAATAGCTTCCATTATATAAAAAATCCTTTCACCACCACTTCAAGAGCTTTTGATAAGAAAATATGATATGGGCAGAGTACCCACTTAAAATGCCTTTATTTTTCCTCTCCTGTAAAATATAAAGCTGCTGAGAGTTTCAAAATGTGTATCTTAAAATTTACTTGTCCAAAGCACCTATAACTACTCATCAAGTATGGATAAGCCATCCTTAAAAAAGGCAAATTCTGGGGTGATTCTACTATCCTTAAAGCCTAACATTTATAAAAGAACTGTCTTCAGTTCTTATTCCACTCTTAGCTATCTAAATGTGCATATGTACCAAATCACAATCACTGAAATTAATCATTCTGCTTCCTTATAATTAAGAGTCTGAATGTTACACTGAAGTCTCAAAAATTACTATAATTTGGAGGCATGAAATTTCAAGATCCTCTTAAGTCATATATAATCCTATCTGGCAGATGGTTAAGAGTACAAAAATACAATTTATTCCAGTGCTTTTTAATATCAGAGAAATTCATAAAATTGTCAGGCTATAGAAGAACAATTCTTAATTTTACATTAAATAAGTGACTTTTTAAAGCTATCAATGGCACTGTAAGTCTTTAAAGCATTGATTAAAGCAGTTGTCTTTGCTTTTTTTACACTCTTAGATATTTAGAAACTTTTCCAACTCCTCTCTGACAATTTCTTACAGCTGATTAGCATTAAATTTACAAGCAAATATGGCTTCAGGTTAAAAAAAAACAAAAAGGATTCAAGATACAAACACTAGAAATTTTGTTTAATAATTTAAGCTAAAAGATGGCAACATCTTGGCAACTATTCTGTCTTTTTGTTCATTTTCATCTTGTTTGATATTTGACTGTCAGCATCGTCTTTGACTACCAACATTAGTTGGTAGTTGCGTGCCAGCTTTGTTGGATACTACAGGTACTCCTTCACTTATGATGGAGTTACATCACGATAAAACCATCAGAAGTTGAAAATATTGTAAGTCAAAATTGCATTTAATACACCTAACCTATCGAACATCATAACTTAGCCTAGCCTATTTCTACTGATGCTTATCACTTTCGTACCATCCTAAAATCTAATAATCATAAATTGAACCATTTTAAGTCAGGGACCATCTATATTATGAATTTATTAGTGAAACATCATGAATTTATTTGAAGTGTTTGAGGTAAACACTAACATTAAATGCAAGCAAATACTGTCAATGTTTAAGGAGCATTTAGAGGAAAATAAATAAGGAGATAAT